GTAAATATAGTTCATTTAAAATATAGAAAACAATGTTCTCTGTGCGAATAAAAATTTAAGATATTACATAGTAATGTATACATTGATTTAATTCAACTTTGTATATTTATTGTAAATGCTCCTTTTCCACATGTAAATCTTGTACAAAAGTTTGCATTGAAAGAGAAAGAGAGAGAGGGGGGGGAGGGATTATATTAGAAAACTATCCTTTTTTTTAGTAATGCAGTGAGCTAAGAGACCAGAAAAACTGGCGAAGTCACGGTATTGAAAGAAAAAGTTTACATACATGCCATCATCATTGAGACATGTTAATGTACTAAAGGTTGCGACATTTTTTCCGATTTTTTTTTTTTCAGAACGTGTAAAACTTTTCAGGTCCACTATCTATGGATGTGTAAGCAAACAGTTATAGTATTTGTCAAAATCATACAGAATCGAAGTATACAAGATGAATTCAAGAATGTATTTTGTGCAACGCGAAAAAAAATGCCGATTGGGGAAGACTTTTCCTATGACCTTGACCTTAACATATGTTGTCAAAGTCACGACGCTAAGTGACTTCCAAGAGATTTTAATCATTGCTCGTTATCCATTAAAAAGTTATTAACAAAAAAAGTTTAAGAAATAACGTCTTAAATTATTTACAGTGTAAGCGAAGTGAATGGTTGAGAATGGTCGCGTTTAGCAGACTCAACTTGTTGCAGAGCGGATCAGTGAGCGCTCGTTGCTATTAAATGATGTGAAAGAATTGGAGCGATCGTTCACAGATCCGCGGGATCTGCTCCGCAACAGTTGAGGCCCAGTTACGCAACTCACGCAAGTTCAATTTATTTTTTATCTCTTTTCAATTCTAGAATTGAAAATAGATGAAGAATAAATTGAATCTTGATTAAGAATCAACTGTGAATTGTGAAACTGGGCCTCAGTCTGCTGAACGCGACCAATGGATCGAAAAACCATCTCAGTCCAATCAGGCTCCAAAAAAGAAATAAAGAGAAGATTTTTAACCAAATTTGAATAATTATTTTCAATCTACATTCAAAAGATATGCATTTTTAGGTTAATCTAATCGCAAATATGAATTGGCAAACTTCACAACTTTTCAATTATATATTTTACTTTGGGTAAATGTTAAGAAGACCCCGTCAGTCTCTAATTTCGATAAAAATAGACTCAATCGATGCGTTTTTGCATGAAACGAACGAATCTGGCAGAAATAAGCGTCGCTCTGCCCCGCGAACCGAGATATTTAGCGTTAAAGTTCACGACCGTTCAGGTTAGACCGGAATCAGACTACGCATTGAAGATTGAGATTGAAGATTGACAAATTCAAATTTGACCAATCGAAACGAACGGAGTGTTACGTCCCGGGGTTCTTTCGGCGGATAACCGAGGTTCGAATTAACCCGAGACTACTACGGAGTATGAAGGTAGAATTTGAGGTAGTGGAGTGTCTAATTAAATTTGTCCAATTTATTTGTTATTAATTAGAGTTGTGGGCTCGATACAGTGATGATAGTGGATTCTGGGGAGGTCCAGGGTGTATCATCTGTCCTATCTAAATATGAGAGGAATCTTTCTAATATTTCCGGGCAATCGCGACAATTCGACACGTGATGCACGGTAGCTAACGACACAGAGCATGCGTCACAATTTTCAAACCGTTCAGGAAATCCTAAGTGGATGTAGTGTCGTAACACGCCGAGATATTTACTCTTTTTGGAGGCCGAAAGCAAGGTGTAACATTCTGGGCACTTAATTCCGCTACTTTCGCTATGCCGATAAAACAATGGCTGCGTTCAGCAGAGAAAGCAGCTTTGCAACTGTTGTAAAATTCTTCAATATGATTGGTTTATACGTTTAGATCTGTAAGGAACCAAAA